ATTTATTTATTTTGCGTCAATGAATTATCAAATAGATAGATAAGCGAAGCCAATCCAAATACTTGCAGCGAATTTGACCAAAACGTATGGAAAGTTGCAGTCTATTGAAAATTGCTGACAAGCTAATTATAGAATATAGTCATATACAATAAAAATATTTTATAAATGATATTACTGACAAATTTCACAATGATTTAAAAATTTTCTATATGTTAACTAGATTTGTTTTTAGAACTAAGAAAATGTTCTATATCGAAATGTATAATACTTGCCTTAATATTGTCCGTTGTCGCTGTGAATCTATCAAGTCTATATGTGGATCCACCATACTCCTCTCAGTATCCTCTTAACTATTTTGGAAAGTAAGTTTACTATTTGTCATAATATATATATATTTTTATATATAATTTGATGAGATGGTACTTATAATATGAATAAATACGCATACATTAAATCCCGCCAGAAATACCACTCTTATTTCTTATCTATATCGGTAATACGTGAATTGTTTATTATTTCTCCTTAGAAAATTATAGGACGACTATTGTTTATGTTATTGCTACTCTTCAATAAAAAACACAACCGATACTGAAAAATTATTAGTTCTTTTGGTTTCAATTAACTAAATGTTAATTAAATTAAAATATTTCATGTTATTATAAAAAATACTACTGGTGTCTGTTTAGAGTTAACTTTTTTGGGCCACAATTTTTTCTTTAAACTACTTTCGCAGGGTCCACAATTATATAAAAAAAATATCTTTCTTTATCATCTTGTTCCAATAAAATGGAATGAAATGGAATGTAGATGTATTCAAAGATTTAAAATCTTTTGATATTAAATTTACAATAAATTAAATATGATTATGAAAATAATATTTGTATATAATAAAAGTACTTACTATGACTTGCATTGTGAAATACTCTAGAAATTCAAATAATTAAATAATATTAAAATGATTCAGGTCAATTAATGAATGATTTGGTCCAAATCAATTATAAGAATGCTTGTCAAAAATATATCGTTTAAAATTAGGCCTCTTTACAATTTCGATTTAACATGCTAAACTTATGCTAAACAGTAGAGTGGATTACACTCTACTTCATTTAAAATTTTAACATGAGTATATCATGCTATATAAAAATTTTTTGTGTTATTGTATAACAATATAAAAAATGTTCACCTTTAAACTTTGATATCTCAAGAACCAAGCTATATCGATATACATATAGCACAGCATAAAGGAAATCGAAATATCTTAGATATTTACATAAATTGCAATAATATAAACGTTCTATTAATACTAAATATAACACGAGAGTTTTGTATGTAGTTATAGCTGTCATGTTTGTAATTTTAGCTATTCATTGTTGTTGCTTTCAATGCAAAATGTGAATTTTTGACAGCTAAAAGTACAAACAGAAGTGTCGTGTGAATCCAATATAAACGAAAATCAAATATCACAAACAATTTTATTTATAAATTATTTTTAATGTAATTGAACTCCATAAAAATAACATAAAAGTTAAGTATGGTTTTGGGTCCGTTGGTTAAGGTGCGCTGGCTCTGAGCTTCAAATTTGACAGGACCCGAGTTTGATTCCTGGTACTTGCAGTCCCAAAAAAATTGTTCACGAATAATTAAATGCAAAAAATATTTTCAAGACCACTGATTATGGGTATTTGGCAATACTCGAGTTTTATGGTCAGCCAAAATATCAATTAATTAAAATAATATAAAATGAATTTTTGTTGTTGTAGTTCACTGCTGTTGGAAAAACTTCTTTTTGTAAATAAATTATTAAAAATATTATTAAAAATAAATATATGAAATTATATATTTAACCCAGAAATTGCGTTATTTCCATGTTTATTCATATACTATTTAGTAAGATATGTCACCATCTATTCTATTTATATATATAATAATTCTGGGCAGTATTTTCCAATTAAAGGCAATTAAAAAATAATTGTTTTCCTTTGAGGCTATTTTGTCACACATATTTCCTTTATGAGGAAAATGCCTAAATTCACGCAATAATACACAGGTGGCAACACTAAATTTAATTGTCAGACACAAAAAGAGGTTCTGTTTACATTTGCAGTTGCAAATTTTTCTTGTTAAGAAATTGTTTAGTTTTGTTAAATATGGAGAAACCATTAAAGATGCCGAAAGTGGCAAAGGTAATATTTATTTCTTTTATCTTTATTAGCAATTAATATGTAATTATATATTAGGTTAAAAACAAAGCGCCCGCTGAGGTGCAAATAACGGCTGAACAATTGTTGCGTGAGGCTAAAGAACGTGATCTGGAAATATTACCACCACCTCCAAAACAGAAAATCTCTGATCCAGCCGAGTTAGCAGATTATCAGCAGCGTAAACGTAAAACATTTGAAGATAATTTACGCAAAAATCGTATGGTGGTAAGCCATTGGATAAAGTATGCGCAATGGGAGGAATCCCAAAAAGAGATACATCGTGCTCGATCTATATGGGAACGAGCACTAGATAATGAACACCGAAATATCACAATTTGGCTAAAATATGCCGAAATGGAAATGAAAAATAAGCAAGTCAATCATGCACGTAATCTGTGGGATCGCGCTGTAACAATAATGCCTCGTGTTAATCAATTCTGGTATAAATATACCTATATGGAAGAGATGTTAGAGAATATAGCTGGGGCTAGGCAAGTATTTGAACGTTGGATGGAATGGCAACCAGAGGAACAGGCATGGCAGACGTATGTAAATTTTGAATTACGCTATAAGGAAATCGATAGAGCTCGAGCCATATATGAACGGTTTGTGTACGTACATCCTGATGTTAAAAATTGGATTAAATTTGCACGTTTTGAAGAGTCGCATGGTTTCATACATGGATCACGGAGAGTTTTTGAGCGCGCAGTAGAATTCTTTGGAGATGACTACATTGACGAACGTTTATTTATTGCATTTGCACGCTTCGAGGAGGGTCAGAAAGAACATGATAGGGCACGTGTTATATACAAATATGCACTCGATCATTTGCCTAAGGAACAAACAAAAGAATTATATAAGGCATATACGATACATGAAAAGAAATACGGTGATAGAGCCGGTATAGAAGATGTTATTGTATCGAAACGGAAATTCCAGTATGAACAAGAAGTAGCCATAAATCCGCAGAACTACGATGCTTGGTTTGATTACTTGCGACTTATAGAAGGTTTGAATATAACTGAAAGTTAAATTATTATTTTTAATAAATTTTTTATCTTTTAGCTGAAGGTGACTATGACATAATACGTGAGATTTATGAACGCGCAATTTCAAATGTACCTCCTGGTAATGAGAAGAACTACTGGCGGAGGTACATATATCTCTGGATTAATTATGCTTTGTTCGAAGAACTAGAAGCTGAAGATATAGAACGTACACGACAAATATATAAAACGTGTCTTGAACTTTTGCCGCATAAAAAATTTACATTCAGCAAAGTCTGGTTATATTATGCACAGTTCGAAATACGTTGTAAAGACTTGCAGCGTGCACGTAAAATACTAGGTATGGGTTTAGGAATGTGTCCACATGACAAATTGTTTCGTGGATATATTGAACTTGAAATTCAGCTGCGTGAGTTCGATCGTTGCAGATTGCTCTATGAAAAGTTTCTCGAGTTCGGACCAGAAAATTGTGTAACATGGATGAAATTCGCTGAACTAGAAACATTGCTTGGGGACATTGATAGAGCTCGTGCTATTTTTGAACTTGCAGTGCAACAACCGCGTTTAGATATGCCAGAGCTTTTATGGAAAGCTTATATAGATTTTGAAGTAGCACAAGAAGAATATGACTTCGCCAGACAATTATATGAACGATTACTTGAACGCACACATCACGTTAAAGTTTGGATGTCGTACGCTAAATTTGAGTTGACTGCATGTACAACAGAATCAAATGAAGATGACTCCACACTGTTTAGAAGTTTGGCACGCAGCGTTTATAGACGTGCCAATGATACATTAAGACAAACTGGTGACAAAGAATCAAGGGTTTTATTACTAGAAGCATGGAGAGATTTTGAAGTTGAAACTGGAGAGGAAGATGAGTTAGAGAAAGTTATAGCAAAGATGCCACGACGTGTTAAGAAACGACAGAAAATTGTATCAGAGGACGGTGTTGAAGAAGGCTGGGAAGAAGTCTTTGATTACATATTTCCAGAGGATGAAATGGCACGTCCTAATTTGAAACTTTTAGCAGCAGCGAAAATGTGGAAAAAACTTAAAGAAACTAATGACCCGTCAGAAAATACGGAAAGCGAAAGTTCTGACCAAATATAAATAATATTGAAACGATTAATAATAAACGATTAAAAAGTTAAGCAAATAAAACAACTTATAATTTTTACTTTATATCATTTATTTATCTATGTAAATTCTAAACGGCTGAGATGAATATAAAATAACTAAAAAAAAAAATTATGCCTTTTTATAAATAGACAAAAGAATGTCATATAAGAGTAAATAAATAAATTTATATTCAAATAAAATAGTTCTCTCTTAATGATTTGGTTTTTTGCGGATTAAATATTAACATTAAATGAAGCATTTATACTTTTTGTAATACATCAACAAACTATGCAGGAACAATCCACTGTTTTTCAACTTTTATAGTTTAAAATATTTTTCCTTGCTTCGTAAAGTCTATTGTTATCTGCATCTCATTCCACAATATATTTAAATGCTACATTTAACGGATAACACATTCCATAAATATTTCATAAAATAATTCTTTTTTAATTTCAAAATAGAGAATTTATTAGGTATATATACCGACTTACAGGCGTTTCAACTAATTTCAAAATTCCTTAGAATACATATTATTTTTATTTAAACTTTTTAAAGTATGGACGAAGTTTTTCAAAGAAACATTATTTATCTATAGTTAAAAAGTATGTTTGCAACATTTCTACATATAATTCATATACTTAATACTGTTTTTTATAAACTCTATTTCAAAATAAGATGTTAAAAAGGAAAAAATATATCGTATTGATGCTTTTAAAAAAAAAGGAACCATTAATGGTATTAAAGAACTGATGCAATTAATTTATGATTAATATTTTTCAGCTGCAGTGTAATACTAAATTGCTAGTTGTGATAGGGTTTTTAAAAGGTGACAAAATCGTTGATCGTGTAGTATAGTATAGTGTTGTATATATAATTTATATTGAGAATATAGTCTAAAGTATCCAAAATGGTGCTATTATGTTCTTTTATTTAAGACAAACGGGTCACCAAATTTTTGTACATAGTTCTAGTCAAAGATTTAAGTCTAACATGTATGCTTTAATTACATATAAGCAGGGATCGAAATTAATAGTTATTTCCAAAAGTTGAAATATTTTATGTTCATGTTAAAAAAAATTAAATACAGTCAAACTTCCATAACACGAACTTCTCTATAACTCGAATAAAAATATTGTCACGTCAATATTGCCAATAGGAATGTGGGAAAATGTATTCTATAAGTCGAATTTTTGTTTTGAGTATGATCCATTTTGGTATTAAAGAAAGTCCCTTTTTCCAAACCAAATGCTTAATTTTTTCTTCTTTATGCAAATGCCAGTCGCTGGCATTTATGCAAATGCATAGAACTGACATTTCTTCCACCGAATGTGACCTCTAAATTGCAACCGCTTGATCATGGAGTAATGCAAAATATAATGTGTAACTATTCTCTAACTAGAAGTCTTCATAAGTCGAACCTTTTCTTTGCAAAACGGTACTTCGAGTTATGGAAGTTTGACTGTATTTCATTATCTTCCTTTACAAATCAACACATCAACGCGTCTTTTGATACTATATGGTTCCAAAAAGATTCAAGACTATATTTGAAAATTTGAACTTACTGATATTAAAAAATATTAATTAAAAGCATATTTCAATGTTTTTAAAAATATACAATCATTTTTCCTAAACAAAAAAAAACAGTATTAAGTAAATTCTATATATTGCAAAATAAATATTATATTTGGTATTAGTTTAATGAATAGTACCAAATATTTTTTCTATAATGAATTACTAAATTAGTTTTAAATTTTTATCAATGATTTCATAAATCTGAATTTATGAAGAAAAATGAACATTTTTAAAGTAATTATTTAATTACACAAATAATTTAAGTTTATTTTTATTTAATTTTTTTTTTCACACAAATTTTATTTAAAAACAGCAAAATGCTGTATTCTGTTTTATAAAATAATTATTAAAATTACAATATTAAAACATAAATTTTTTTGTAATATTTCGATATTTGTTTAAAATTATAGAATTATGTTCACATAGAGCAACAAATACTGAAGTAAAAACATAAATTTAAGCGGAGAAAATTATTTCAGTATATATAAGATTAATATATAAATAAAAACAAATAAATTAAAATATGTATTCAATTACATATAATATTGCATAAATAAATGTGACCATAAAACTGAATTTTAAAACAAATAAATTAATACTTTACATTTTATGAGATTTTATTACATTTATATAAAAAATGTATGTGCAAAGTAACTGAATTGCTTTAATTATTTAATTATAAATTTAAAATGTTCAAATCATTGAGCTTGTCAAAATATTAATCATTTAAATTTCAAAGGCGCTCAAGAGGTTCTTTTTTTAAATTATTCTTTTAACTGATATATATTCTATATTAAGCTGAAGCTATTCAAAACTTTAGCTTTCTACTTTTGGAATTTCTTCTTTATTAGTTTCATCCTTTGTGTCGATCTTATTATTAGTTTTTTTGTCATTTATATCCTGTAAAAAGATTTAACAACGATTGAAAATTTGTTAATTAATTATTGTTAATGTTAATTGAATTTAATAAATATCAACATATTTCTTAATATGCTTTTTCTTAAGCAAAATATACATATACATATAAAATAATGATAAAATATAAATTAAAATAAAACGTTAAGGTTAACTTAAATAATATCATATGATCATTTATAATAATATTTACAAAGAGGAAAAAAACTATAACATTTCTTATATGTATATACATATATAAAATAAATAAAAATATGTACTTTAAAAGAATGTTGACTAAACTCAAATATGTTGAAATATATTTTATCTAATATTTGCTTTATGCTCTTCTCTTATCAGGAGCGATGATACTAACTAGTTAAATAATGGGGGGGGGGGGGTGATACCAACCAGCTAAATAATAATAACAATTTTATAATTTAAGTTTTTTAAAGAGATTTTTCGAACAGTAGTGAACTGCAACAACAAAAATGCATTTTATATTATTTTAAATCATTGCCTTTTTGACTGACCATACAACTGTTTCAAGTATTCCCAATCCCCATCATAAATGGTCTTGGATATATTTCTTGTATTTCATTATTCGTAATTAATTTTTTGTGACTGCAAGTATCAGGAATTGAATTCGTACCCTGCCAAATTGAAAGCTCAGAGTCAGCGCAACTTAACCAACTGACCCAAAGCGGTAATTGATTTTTATGTTCGCACATATTATTGGATTTTTGTTAATATGCTGTGAAAGTTATAATAACAAATTCACTTGCTGTGTTTATATTAGAACGAAATCATAAACCGACTGTAGAATAATTGAATTAATTAATCATATTTTGATTTTTAATCGTTAAATTTCATTACTATTCTGTTTGTAGAGGCATTATTTGTTGCATGATTTATATATTCTTTATTATGTATAGAACCTAATCTAGGAACATAATATCGAGAAAGTCATGTTAATGTTACTCTACGATTCTCACGGACGAGACCAATATTTTGTGAATATAAGTTTTAAGTTTTTTAAAAACATTTATATAGAAATCGAGTTTCGAGTTGAAGTTGTTATATTTCCGCTATGAACGAAAACAGAGGACTAGATTATTATTACAGCTCATCACAACTTAATGAAGTTTTTAGATTATTATTCAGTTTGCTCTCTTTGAGGCGGTTTCTCAAAGAAAAAATATTTATTTTTATTTAATGTTCACAAAAAAAAATTATTTCTAGAAAGTTAACTGAACACACGGAATCCGTATTACTAAGAACAAAAACGTTTATGAATATTAATCATTTTGGACCTCAATTGCTAGAAAATATCAAAAATTGTTATTTTTTATTTTGGAAATGGGGAGCTTAAAGAAAATAATGCTGTGTTACCTATTTTTTGTTAAGAAATATTTTCTTCAAAAAGAAAATCGTTCCGTATCGCAAGGATGAGACTTAGGCTATGCTTATCTACTCATTTATAGAAAAGTAGGCTAAAAGCATGAAATTGGGTTTTCTTGAAATAAAAAAAATGGGTTTTTTTAAATTAGCTTCAATAAAACGTTGATTAATCATAGCAGAGAATTTAGTGTCGTACAGTCTAATTAATATAGATATGATATCAGCAATAAAATAGATATCATAGCAATAAAATAGATTGCATAAATAATATAGAGAAATGTGTCGTACCACCTTACAATTCGTTTGCGTTGATCATTGCCACAAACGTACGAAGTTCTACACTATCGTACACAAGACAACATAGTTCTTGCTGCATGTTGTATATTTGTACATAGTTTTTGCATATGTATTATTGCTATTATTGCTTTAATCTTCTTAATTTAATAAGTTCACGACTTAATTTAAACATCTAGTGAAAAGAAAAGAATAAAATAAAATAATAAGAATTAACAGAATAATAGTTGGGAAATAAAGGTCCAGTTGAGCTTTAACATATCTGGACAAAATCTGATTTAT